TGTTAATTGTAGTTTTAAAAAGTTGAAAACTGTTTGCAATTTCGAAATTCAATTTTAAGAAATGCGATCTGCGGCTTTTTAACGGCGTTCTTTTTAAACTGTTGTGAAGAAAAATTAATCTGCTTGTAAAAAAATATGTGATCATACAAAGCAAGCAACCCCAACCCCAATCTCACTGCATAATCGTCTAAAATGGCGCCCTCACCTTCGGCGGAGTGCCGGTTCGTCTGGGCTGAGCAGTGGCGACAGCGTTGGCGTCCGGTCTAAGGACTCTCGACACCAGGGCCGCCGCTTCAAGCCCAGGGCTTCGGGATAGGCCGTCGCCCGTCCACATGGTCGACCGTTCGGGGGGGCAAAAAACCGGGTGGAGGGTGGCATAGGGCGGTGGGCGTCGTGCCAGCTCGACACGGCGAGGCAGATCCCCTCAGCCACGCGGAAAGGAAACTGTACGGTGGCGCTTCCCGCGGCAACAACCCCCTACGTGGGGCCGCTCTCCGCACTGGATACCAATCTCCACACAGGCCCCTGCGGTAACGGTGGGCCTGGGCGGCGGGCGGTGTCGGTTGAAATGTTCATAATAGCAAACACGCGTTTTGGGCTTCTTCTTTCATACTTATGTAACTATAATAGTATTCTACTCCTTAAGGAAACCAAGAATTAAGAAAGTTTTTTTTTAAATGTACTTCGGGGCGGCGATCGATGGTAGCTGTGAAGCAAACATGCAAGCCTGGAGGCCAAGACAATAGGAAACAATACGGGAAAGACTGGTGGGCATTTTTAAGTATGAAATTAGATTCTACTTGGCCTTCTCGTACTTATATGTGCTTCTACTCTTACTAGGCTTTCTAGTACGCGGTCGAATTAAAAATTTCATCTAGCACGAAGTTGTGGCTCTTCCTTTAATATTTTGAATTAATAAATTCGATTATACTCCTTAGGAAACCAAACATTAAGAAAGTTTTTTCTTTTAAAAATGTACTTTGGGCGGCGATAGATGGCAGCTGGCTAAAACAATGTGACCAGCGTCCCGAAAAAGCTAGCTGAGACGCAAATGCAAATAGGAAACTAATACGGAGGGGAAAAGACGGGCATTTTTAAGTAGTGAATTCGATTCTACTCTTTTCGGAAACCAGACAATTAACGAAAGTTTTTTTTAAATGTATTTTGAACTCGTAGATGGCAGCTGTCAGAGAAATATGGGCAAGCCCGAATAGCCTAGCTGGGACCAAAGGCAATAGAAAACTAATACGGGGGGGGCGAAAGAACTGTGCCATTGTGTAGCACAACTTGCTTTGAAATCGCGAAAAAAAAAACAACCGAGAAATTGTAGTATTTTTTGTGTTTTGTTTTGGGGGAGCTCTTTTGTGACTTGGCAGTAATTTTTCTATGTATATCGACGCCTTGAATCCGATTTTGGAACCAGAATTGCGTCACCGAAATTCAGTTTATGAAACTAATGGTGCTAAAACAGCACGTACTGTTTCGTCCATACTGTCCACCCATTACGCAAAAAGTACTAAAACAGTGAAAAAATTGTCCTTATTTCAGAATTATCTTTTAGGAAAAGAATCCATTAAGGGATATTTTTTTAACAGATTAGTTGTAGAAAGATTCCAAAAAGTTATGAACTTTTGCAATTTTCAAAAAATTAGTATTTTTAACGACAATTAGACCTGCACCATTCTTCTAAACCCACTTCACATTATCCAACAACACTATGTAATCAAAAAAGATGAAGGCATGTTTTGTTTTGAAAGTGGCCTATGGATTCATGTAAAGTACCAATTAAAATTAAAATTTCAAATTGAAGGGGTCGAGACATCAGATCGATTTGGGGAGTATCAATTTTGGAGAAAATCAACCGAACGGTTGAGCCAATAGCGTTGTTCACAGTCGGACAGGCAGACGTGTTGGCGTCATTGGATTTTTCGGTATCAAGAACCCACAAAACATGCTTTCTGGTGACACCACGCATTGTAGTTTTTTTGTTGTAAATTTAGCAACTCGATTTATCGACTTTTTTCGCTACCAAGGCCCTGTAACTGGAATGTTTCTGACGAAAATTCTACGTTTTTCCGCACTACATTACATATCTTTCTCTCTACTCCGTAGCGAGCATGTAAAATGGCTTTTGTACACGTAAGCTTCCGCAGCTCGAGTTTATGAATTCATCCGTTCTTGGTTGTCCGGGTGACGCCGCAGGCGAAACATCGGTCTCTCAGTCTATGACGTCACCCGGCGGCGACACCCGGACAGCGGCACCGTCGCACACAAAGAACTCATAGAAAAGGCTTTTATGGAATAATGCGCTTTAATGACAATAATAGGTACGGTATTTTATTCAAATGTATGTGATGCAACAGTAGATTTATCTAATACATTAACCATAAGATTATAAAATTAAATGTTTCCTGATGTTGAAGATCATGAAGAACAAAATGAGTGAACGTGAAGTAAGAAAAGTGCGCATTAAAAATGAATTTATTAATACAATAAATTACAACCGTATGTCTCTATTATTACTACTGAACGGAGTTTCACTCGAATCTAATACTTCATCGAATCTAATGCGCACCGTTCCTCAGTTATACATTTGGTAAAAAAAAGGAGTGCGCTTTAGATTCGCGTAAATACGGTATCTAATACGCTATACGATAAAAGTTGCAAAACAAATCGTCTTTACGATAAAAGTTGCAAACCAAATCGATGGAAAATGAAATTAATTTTCCATCGATTTGGTTTGCAACATTATATCGGAAAGATTTTCTTAGGAAATATAAATACCAAATTGTTCATTTTTTGGAGCAGTTGAGAAGTTGTATGATAACATTAAATATTTCAAAAACGTGTATGTAGTAATATTAAATTGAATTTAGAATTAAATAAATTTAAGAAAAAACACACAGCTTATGTGAAACATATGCATCTTTCTCAAAAGTAATGTTTTGCTTGTATGTGATTTTTTTATTAGTACTTCTAGTTTTTACCATGAAAACCGGATATGTTGGAGGTTGAACTAAACCAATAATATGTACGAAATTCAATCTGCGATTTAGATGATATTAATAGTAGATGTGATGCTGCACAAATTGATATGATGCATTTGACTCCTAGAGAAATAGTTGGATTGCCTGACACACCGAAACTTCACATCAACAACCAGCAGCATTTTAGGTCCTTTATTCATTGTTTCATGCACCTCTAGTAACATCGTGGTGTTATCGTAGCTTCAAAGTCTCGAGTTGGAGTCCGAACGAGGAAAGTAAAAAGCGTAATCAAATGTATTGAAATTGCTCTAGGAATTGCTACCCTACCGGAAATCGAAGCCAGGTCTCCTAGTTTAGTTAAACTCACTTTATTTTAACCGAATACAGTTACATATAGTTGTTCGACGACGCAGTTATAAATCAGAAGACCCAGGTTCGATTCCTGATTGCGGTGAAAATATTTTGAGAAATTTGAATTAACATACATTTGTTACACAGTAACAAAGTAACTATGTCACATCACAGGAATCTACTGTGCAGAAAACATTTCCCACGTAATTGCCCATCCTAAATTGTGACAGGATGTTGACAACTGAACTAAATTAAAACATTAAAACATAGAAGCAGACATATCTTTGACCTAGAGATGAGATAAATATTTAGTTTGAAAAGTGTTTGAGATCTATCCTAGAACAGTTTACCCATATACTCAATACTACCTTTCATACATATTGTTTTGTAGTGTTTGACACCCGAGTTTAACTTTCTGTTCTGTAGTCTTCATGATTTTAAGAGAAAATGCCACTCATGCATTGCTTTCGGAGACTTTATATATCATATTATTTCAAAAGAACTGTACAATCATCAAAATGAAAATTCAGCCATTTGCGCGTGTAAAGCAAGTCTTGTCAGCGTCAGGTACAAAAATGGTTCCCGTAGTTGGACCTTGTGGATGTCGACTGTTGGATCAACGCGGAGAAGTCTGGTCTTAGTCTTCAAAAAACTGGAACAAAACGAAAGAAATTGTTTAGAAATGTTTTGCTACCCGTGAAATAGACAACGGCAAGATTCATTCACATTTAAGACACAGTAGAAATGTTCTTTTATTACAAAAATGAGTGCACTGTAATGACATTATCGATGTTTGTAAATTCTGTGCTTTGTAATGCCGTGGACACAACGGCTGATTCTATGGATCGCATCTTTGGGGATAATGAGCAAGAACTATCACTCATATCCGACTATTTGCTCATATCCCATTATTTGAAGGACCTGAACTCAGAAATACATTAATGTAAAGAAATTACCGGTAATGTAAATATTAACGATGTGAACGCCAAGAAAGCCACCATAACTCTACTCATACAAACGTAAATTGAACTTTCATTGAGATTAATACAAAATAGGGTAATGAAAATAATACAATTCATAAACATATTGAAACCATTAGTATCATCTAATTTTGTATTTTATTTATATTGTTGAGAGACTGATGATGAAGGCAAAGCCGTCGAAAACCGTCTATCCGAATGCATCTAGTGAGATGAGTTCTGTGATTTCACCATTTAATTACGTCACCAACACCTCAATTTGAATGATCGTGACTGTCCGGGTACCGCCGCGTCCCCAACACAGCCTTCGCTACGGCGCCACCCGGACAGCCACGATCATTTACATGACTCCATCCGAGGAAGCCATGTAAACGATCTTGGCGGTCCGGGTGTCGCCGGTCGAAGGCTGTGTTGGTAACACAGCCGGGCGTCAGGGCGTCACCCGGGCAGCCACGTCATTTACATGACTCCAGCCGAGGAAGTCATGTAAATGATCTTGGCTGTCCGGGTGTCACAGCGTCGAAGGCTGTGTTGGCAACAGATCCTTCGCTACGGCGTCACCCGGACAGCCACGATCATTGAACATGATTCCAGCCGAGGAAGCGTACGTCTTCAACACCTCGATTTCCACCTACCTGTCGGGCGGGCGAGGAGGAAGTCGGAAGCTGGAGACACCAGAGTGTGCGTGGCTGGGTGGGTGTTACTTGCTGTCAATGTCGTCCGCGAAGTCTGGACACCGGCGTCCCCTGCGCCCTCTTCCTTTGCTGCCCCTTCGGCTGCCCTTTCGACCGCCTTTTCGGCGCCTCATCCGTTCGTACTGGTTGCGCTTCTGCCGCTGGGAGCGGCAGTGCTGGCACAGCATCTGGTTGCCCTCGCGTAGGTGGCTGCAAACCACGGAACAGGTGTGGGGTGGGGTCACGTAAGATAGGGTGGGGTGGAGTCGCAAAGATTGGGATATAATGATATGGGGGTGGAGTGTTCCCAAAGTTAAAGAATGTTTTCCAAAATATCAAATCTTCAACTCAAACCAGATGACAGGTATTTCTTCAATTTGAAAAAAAATTCTACGCGTGGTTTAGGCACTAGTATTTTACACAGACGGGCAGACGAAGTTTTTGGAAAAAAACAACACTTTTTCCTTACCAGAAGACCCCAAAAGTGTTGAGATCTCGAAATCGTTTTTCCGCAGCATTACATAACTTTCCCTATACTACGTGTATTCCTCCGTATATACGTACGTATACGGGAAAGTAAAACTCGATGTTAAATGGTTTTATTAAAAAAAGTTAAAAAAACAAAAAACAATGACACGGACGGCGTCCCTAGTCGTGGCTCCGCATGCGAGAGGCGACTTATGGTTTAGACGCTAGTAGAGTTCACAGACGGCCAAACAGACGGAGTTTTTGAAAAAAGAAAACACTTTTTTCTTACCGGCAGACCCCAAAAGTGTTGAGATCTCAAACTCTCGGTTTTTCTGCAGCATTACATAAATTTCCCTAAACTACGTATATACTTACGTTTAATGGAAAGTAAAACTCCATGTTAAATGGTTTTATAAAATAAAGAAAAAACATTACCTGGGACGGCGTCCCTACCCGGCGGTATGAGGGGTTTCCCCCAACCAGTTATCTCCCACCAGTGGGGGCGACTTACTTCTTCCAGAGCTTGACGCACGCCTGGCACCTGCTCTTGCGCCTGCGGGAGCGGGAGCGGCTGCGGCGGCGACGGCTACGCCCACTGCGGCTTCTACGCCGACTCCTGCGCAACCCCAACCGCCTGTCACCGTCCACCCTCCCAGCGGGCGATCGCTCATTGAATCCGTTTGTTTCGGAGACCCGGAAAAACGCCAAAAATTTCTAAAACACGCTCCGTTCTCGAACCCCACCTCCGCCTTCGTTTGGAGGTTGTTCGGAGCTGGCAATGCCGATGTCACTGCAGCGAGACGGAGCGGAAGGTTCTAATGTTCCAGACCTGACTGTGGCGGAGTTTCGACACTAGCTAAGTAATCAGATCAAACTCAGTTGAATCCTTTATTTCAGGAACCCGTCAAACTCCAAAAATTCTAAACCACGCTTTAACGGCAGATTATTGCTCCAAGAGGATAGACGCATCTTTTAGTGCATGTTTATATGAAAAATAATGATTTATCAACTGCTTTAATAAATAAAAATATTTTGAAATAAGAAAAATTGGGAGACGGTTTTCTCAGTTTTCTCGAAATGAGGAATTTGGCGTTTGACGGGTTTCTGAAATAAACGATTCAATTAGTGATTCCGGGCGTGTTAACTGAGGAGGTCGTTCTCCCCGTGCGAGTAGTACATGTTTTTGTTTTCGTCGAGCTGGATGATAAGATCTGGTGCCGACCTAACCGTCGGTATGAGGGGTTTCCCTCAACCAGGTATCTCCCACCAGTGGGACACGGCTCCAGCCGGGACGAACTCTAAGCTTTCGGCTGGTCTCCCAGCATGTGTCTTAATGTAGTTTAAATGTAAGTGATGATAGGTCAAGGAAGAAGGAAGATTGCGTGCGGACTGTGGCTCCTTGTCAGGTTACTGCTCTAGCATTCGTCTGATATTGATAGGAGAAACAAAAAAAAAAAACAACTACTGATCAGAGTAGCCGGCCGTTGGAATTTCCCTCCAGACAGCGGCTCAATCTTTTTGAAATAATACAAACACCGAAAATGGGGCACATGCTTAACCATAATGTGGAAGCAATCACTTTTTTCCATAGCCTCTCTATAATGTATGTGTTCTTGATCACGTTATGTGTATGTTGATCAGGACCGCACATTCTCGTCCAACATTAACAATTGGAGAACTACACGAATATTCATTTCCACTGTCGGAAATTTTGAAATACAGAAAGAAGGAAAAACATGTAGTCAGAGTCCAAAGTATCACGTCGAGTTTTATGATCTACAAATTCTAATGAAATTAACGTGACATTTGTATGAACTTCTTTTTACCCACTTCAAACAATCCAACCGGAGAGTCTCGGAAACTAAATTGTCCGCAACTGCGAAGATAATCTTTCAGATCTTCTCCTTTGTTGAGAAAGTGGGAAGTTAAACGAAAGGCTTAACGAGTGCGGACCACAAAAATTATCAAACTGCGGAAAATCAGGGTGCTCCAAAACACTTTTCCCCTTCTTTCCGCCGCCTTACTCAACACGCGACAAAAGCAAAAACCTTTTGCTCCCTTCCACAACTTTTGCCACTCCCGCCTTCTCTTTCTCTTTTTCTCTGCTTGCCTTACAAGGGACTCTCACTCCGCCACAGAGTTTTGCGAGAAAGTGTTTAATAATGCAGGAGGAAATTTGGTTAAAGTTATAAAAGCTCTGGAAAGCTGCTATAGCTGCTATTTGCCCAACTTCCTTCCCGCAATTTTTTCATATTTCGATTTTGTTGCGGAATGAACTCAGTTTTTTTTTTCAGCTTCAGAGATGTGTCGTTCTCGGTGGCTTTAAGAGGGGGGACTATCTAAAAGGTAAGATGGGTTTGTGCTTCTGCTTTTTTTATTTTCTTTAAAGGAATTTTACGCTTTAAAAAAAGAACTGTGGAGAAAACTATTGACAAAAGTCTCCAAAATATTCATTACTGATATTTTAAATATGTCAGCTTTACAGGTTACTGGTTAGATGAAAGTTGATGGAATTCCGTCTTTCATATTAAGAACAAAAACAAGCACGACCACATTTCATGTATAAAATTGTGTTTTTGCTGTAAAAATAATACAAAAAAACACAAAAAATGGGGGGCACGTGCTTCGAGATAATGTGGAAAGCAATCCTAGATAACATCCTATATTCTGAAGCTCTTTCTGTGTGTTTTTTGTTTCAAACGTTTCTGTCTGTGTGTGTGGCGTGCGTTTGTGGTTTAAAAAAGAATTTGTGTGCATGTTGTTGTTTAGAAAATGGAAAACGATATATTTTAAAAGTTACGGAAAAAAACCCCACCAAATATTTCTAAAAAAATGTATATAAAATTATTTAAAATCTAATACTGGAACAAATGATTTGCTTTAAAAATAATATCGTAACTTTCGTATTAAATATGCCGACTTTCGATCTTTTTCCAGCATTTAACGTTTATTGTTTTCTCTATTCTTTGTTCATAGTAAAAATAACTTAAAAACCAAGAACCGAAAAGAAAAAAGAAGCAAGCAGGAAAGTATGAAAAGAAAGCAACTAGTTGATGTTAAAACAAGGCATTATGTTCCGGCATTATTATTTCTACATTTGGCAATTGTGAAAATTTAGGACAGGACCAACGGAAATACGTTTCTGCCACTATTCTTTTCAGAAAGGTTTGTGTTCTAATCCCTATTTTACGTAAGAAAAAAAATTACAAAGGTCTTTTAATTGTTGTAGTTTTGAACTGATATTTTTTTTGCCAATTTTCGAAAAATATAGGAGTTACCTTCCCTTGGAAAAATTTACTAGGCCCATTTTCAGCATAACAAGAGGAAAAAACAAATGTAAAAAATTTAAAGCGCTTTTGGAGAAAAACATGTTATTTCAAACTATTTTTAAAAAAAAACCGCCTACATTTCACGCGGACGTAGTGTTGCAAAAAACTGCCGGCATATTTTCAACTTAAACTACTCAAAATGCCAAAAAGAAAAGAGGAAAAAAGAAAGGTATGAAAAATTACGGAAAAAAAGAACTAAAACGCCAGACGACCAATAAAAGAAAAAAATAATAAAAAAGAATCAAAACCCCCAAAAAAAGAAAAGAAATAAAAATTAAGAAGGAAAGAAGAAAGCAGATAGAGAAAAAAGGGAGGAAAAGAAAATAAAAAACGAAAAGGGAAAAACGAAAGAAAAAAGAGAAGGAAAGGAAAAATAAGAAAGCAAAAAAGGAAAGAACGAAGAAAAAGTAAACAGAAGAAAAGTAAAAAACAAGACAGTAAATAGGAAAGAAACAGTAAATAGATAGGACAACTAAAATAGATAGGACAAGGTAAATAGATTAGGCAGTAAAAAGGAAAGGGACAGTAAAAAGAAAACAGTAAAAGAAAGACAGTAAAAAGAAAGGAAATATAAAGAAAGACAGGAAAAAAGAAGGAAAGGAAAGCAAAAAGAAGGAAAAGAAAAGCAAAAAAAGAAAAAAATGGAAGTAAAAAAGGAAGGGGAAAAAAGTAAAAAAAAACCGAAGAAAGTAAACAGAGAGAATGTAAAAGAAAGGCAGTAAAAGGACAGTAAAAAAACAGTAAAAAAAGGAAGACAGTAAAAAACAGAAAGTAAAACAGAAAGAAAAGTTAAAAAAAGAAAGGAAAGTAAACGAAAGGAAAAAATAGAAACGTAAAAAGAAAATTAAAAAAGAAAGGGGACAGGAAAAAAGAACCAAAGAAAAGAAAGAAAAAACGAAAAAGAAATGAAATTAAAAAAGAAAGAAATGAAATAAGAAAGTAAAAAAAAAGTAAAAAAGTAAAAAAGAAAAGAATGAGAGCTAGTAAAAAACAAAACAAGGAGCGAGTGGTCGTGCCTTCCTCCACAGCGTCGGCTGGCGGCGCGTCGTCGGCTGCTGCGGCGCCGGCGGCTGCGCTTTTGCCCGCGGCCCCTGCGCTTTCGACTTGCACCGCCTGCTTGCCGCCGCCGCGCCGCTTCCCGCGCCGCCGCGACCCGCCCGCCCCGCCGGCTGCGGGCGGCGCCGCCGGCTCTTGCCGCTCTTGCGGCGCTTGCCGCTGCGCCGGCTCTTGCGCTTGCGCGTCTTGGACGGGCAGCCGCAGCCGCCGCCGCCGCCGCCGGCCGCCTCCGCCACCGCCAGGCCCGCGCCCGGCGACCTGCCGCCACGACACGCCATCAGCCATAACAGCATCGGACTGGTTTCCCCCCTAAATCCTTCCAACGCTTACCTTCTGGAGGGAAACAAAGCCAGCGGTCCAATGTTGTAGATATACAGCATGTAAAACATCCTCCACCCAAAAAGATGCCTCTGAGCAAATTGAAAATCGCACGACACGCCACCACCATCAACCATAGCGGCATCGGACTGGTCCCCCCCCCTAAATCCTTCCAACGCTTCCCTTCTGAATGGAAAGCCGGCGGTCCAATGTTGTAGATGTACAGCATGTAAAACATCCTCCAGCCAAAAAAGAAGCCTCTGAACACATTCAAAATCACACGACACACCACCACCATCAGCCAAAGCGGCATCGGACTGCCCCCCCTCAAATCCTTCCAACGCTTCCCTTCTAAAGAGTAACAAAGCCGGCGGTCCAATGTTGTAGATGTACAGCATGTAAAACATCCTCCAGCTAAAAAGAAGCCTCTGAGCAAATTCAAAATCGCACGACACACCACCACCATCAGACATAGCGGCATCGGACTGGTCCCCCCCTAAATCCTTCCAACGCTTTCCTTCTGAAGGGAAACAAAGACGGCGGTCCAATGTTGTAGATGTACAGCATGTAAAACTTCCTCCACCCAAAAAGGTGCCTCTGAGCAAATTCAAAATCGCACGACACACCACCACCATCAGCCATAGCGACATCGGACTTGTCCCCCCCCCCAAATGTCACGAGAAAATCCTGCCAACGCTTCCCTTGTGGGAAGGGAAACAAAGCCGGTGTTCCAATGTTGTAGATGTACAGCATGTAAAACACCCTCCAGTCAAAAAGAAGCCTCTGAGCAAATTCAAAATAGCGTGTCACGTTGTCGCCACAACAGAAAACGTACCTTTTTCGGCTTTGAGGGCGTAGTAGCGGACTGAGTTCCCCAAACTCGCGGATTCAAACCCGATCGAAGCGTGGATATAAGGGCGAACAAATTCTTTCAACGCGACCCTTCTGAAGGGAATCAATGTTGGCTGTTCCATGTTATAGATTTATAGCATGTAAAGATCCTCAAGCCAAAACGACGCCTCTGAGCAAATTCAAAATCGCTTGCTTTGTCGCTCGACTGATACTGTCGCAGGCGCGCTAGGAACTCTCCCCACATATGTACGTTTACCCTTAGGCGAGCAAAAAAAATATTTCCCTTTCTTACAAAAGACAATATTTACATTCAAATACCTTCTTCTACCGTAACTAATTGTTCCAGCAATTAATAATAAAAAATTCTTGCACTCTTCTGTCTAAATAATTATTAATGTAATTTTGAACCATAAATTACTTAAAATCTAGTATGTCATCTATCGTACATATCAGTAGTAATTAACCTTTATCCTGACATGTGTGTGAAGTTACATTTCAAAAGAATCTTAGGACCGAACCTTACGACAGAAGATTTCAGATGGTATTTTTGAGGTGATTCCAATACTTTTCCTTCCTAAAATGCAGTGTATGGAGGAAAAGTAGAAAGTAATTAAAAGTTCAGCTGATGTGAAGTAAAGACAGGTGAAGTGTGGTCGAAGGAGATGTGAGGTGTGGTGAAATGAGACAGTGAGATGTGAAGGAAGGTGGATTGCGATAACGCGATATGAAGTAAAGCGAAATTCAGCGAGATCAAGTGATGTGAAGTGAAATAAAGTGAGGTGAGAGTTGAAGTGAAGGTGAGTAAACTTGAGGTGAGATATGATGAAGTAAAGTCAGGTGAGTTGAAATTAGGTAAGGCGAAGTGAGGTGAAACAACATGCAGTAAAGTTACGTGTGTTGAAGTAAAATAGAGTGAGTTATGGTGAAGCGAGATGAAGTGAAGCAAAGTGAGATGTAGTGAAGCGAAGTGAGTGAAAGGTGGAAAGAAGTGAGTGAAGTGAAGTGAGGCGAGGCAAAGCGAGGCGAGGCAAAGCGAGGCGAGGCAAAGCGAGGCGAGGCAAAGTGCGGCGAGGCAAAGTGCGGCGAGGCAAAGTGCGGCGAGGCAAAGTGCGGCGAGGC